ATCAATCAATACATCGATATCATGATCTTCGAAAGGTTTAGGCTTCAGCTCCTCTCGGCGGAATGAACTCCAAGTTTTAGGGCCGTCGACGCAAAAGCCTTCAAATGTTTCTGGATAGCCCATCTTATTCGATTAATGATGAAAAAAGGACCAATATGTTGAGGTAGTGAAATTGCACTAAGTTTAGTGATTGAAGCGAGAATCATGCAAGCCAATTCAGACATAGAAGTGCTTTTTATACTAATAGTATTTGATTAAGATGACGTTAGGGAGGTCAGGGAGTGATGGAAGAATGATTTGCTGTATCATATCCAAGTTATTAGCCGAATATCCAACGCCTCTCGATGACGTTGATCGTTTCCACAACGGATACTCAATCGTACCGTCATAAAAGAGGATAGACGGTACAAACGGTTATGAGCGACATTTCCTTGCCCACTTTCTCATTCAATCTATTATATTTAGTGGAATTTTTCGAAGACGTCATGGACGACTACCATGGAGCTACGGTTGTTCACTATCCCCGCCTGATATGGCAATTGCAGGGATACTGAGGAGAGAAGGGTATTGGTATCAACCAAGCTTTTTGTGACTACACGCAAGTTCTAGTCGCTGAGAGAGGCATTTGTATATCGCTTTTTCTTTGTTTCTCATGCTCTTCATTTTACTTGTTTACAGTCAAGATACTCCTTCGCTCTCGCTTGCAGCTAACCTATACCCAAGATTCCAAGCTATGAAATTGAGCTAAAGATGAGCCATAGGTGTAATTACAATTAAGTATATAGATTAGCCAAAGTAATATACTGTAATTAAATCGAATCAAAGTACTGAAATAAGATTCATGCTCAAGAGATTGAGTGACAATGGTACGATTGCCTAGTCTATAGTTCCTTGACCATGGTGGGAGCATTCATCTCCTGGCTCAACACATATAATAATGTTGGACTTATATTTTTTTTCCAATGGCGTATTCTTCTAAGGTGGATTTATTAATTATTTTTCTACGTTCTGGTTGCAAATATCTGTGGTCGAGTTGACGTCCATATGTCACATGCGGTACTCAGTCTCTATATCTTATTCAGTTGACAGCAGCAAATGGGTACAGAAGTAATCGATTTGTGATTGTCCGACCTTGTTGGACAACCCTAGATATTAATAAATAACAGCTAATTGTCATGCTCCACCTAGTCGCTAATAGGAATTGAAGAACACAATAATGCTCTTCCTGCAAATTATTATAGAAAAGCCCTCCCTTGCCACCAGCCTTGCGTACATAGCAGAGGGTGAGCGACGGCTCATGGACTTGATACTTCAGCGACCATTGCATAGGTCTCTCTTCTCAATTGGCTATGAGCTTAGCCACGAGACTTTTTGTGGGGTTTTCAATGGCTTGACAAGTACTTTCAAATTTCTCACAAACAACAGGAAGTATTGACAAGAAAGGTTATATGTTTCCAATGTTTTTGGTCATTAAATTCATAGTCGTCTAATATATACCCGATATACCGATCGATGTCTAGTCTTGTTCCCACCTCGCCAATTCAGATCGATCACAAGCTAGTTGTATAAAACTCCTTCCATCTTTCCCATCTTATTCCTGGCGCCCCCGGTCTAGAAAGCAAAGACTTGGTCATCCAACTTGCTCACAGGACGGGCCTTCTCGAAGCCCAAGCTCTCTGAAATCTTCTTCATGGCGCTAATCATGGGAGGAGGTCCGCAAAGAAGCATCTTAACATCAGCCGCAGGTTTGGGCAACCATTTCTGTCGCACATAGTTAGAGAACCAAGTCATATAACAGCCAATGGGAAGGAACTCACGGTCATCATATCTGCTGAGACGAAACCAACACCACCAATCCAACCCTCAGGGGGGTTGTTAAGAACGTAATGCACACGGATGCCAGCATCCTCTTTGGTCAGTGCATCCAACTCGTCCTTCAAGAGGATATCTTCCGCATTCACGTTGGCGAAGATCAGATCAACCTCGGTCTTATCACCGCCAGCACGTCCGCGCTGGATTGCGCGAATAACTTGTAGCATTGGCGTAATACCAGTACCGCCAGCAATCATTGCGAAGTGACGGACCATGTTGGGGGTGTATACGAAAGCTCCCTTGGGGCCACGCACTCGGATGTTGTCGCCAATCGAAAGGGTGGTAAAATATTTGGAGATGTTACCTAGCGGGTATGACTTGATCAATAGGTCAAAGTAACCCCGCTGGTGGTCGCCGGAGATGGGTGTGTAAGAGCGGATAATTTCCTTGGTTTCGCCATCGGGTTGGGGGAGATGGGCACCGATGGAGATATGCTGGCCGATTGGGAGACCAACAACCGACTCAGGGGTGGGGAGGGTGAAGCGGTAGCTAAAAGAGGCAGACGAGTTAGTATCACGAAAGCCAATTGATACGACAAAATTGAAAGAGAGGGGAGCTAGTAGCTTACATGGCGACGTTGTGGGAGATGACAGTCTTTTCCTGGAGGGGGAACTCTTGGAAGGCATCGGGCTTCAACACCGTTTCGACGACACCGTTGGTGGTTTGTGTTGATGCATCGGCCGCGGGGGCATCGTCGATCTTCAAGGCGGCAACCGGAAGTTCGTCAACCGTCTTGTCCGTGTCTTGTGGTGGTACTTCGTCGGCGGCAGCACCTTCAAGCTTCAAGGTGCCAATGAGAAGGTCCGCAAGGATCTCGTCTGCCTCTTCTGAGTGCTCAGCATCTACGTAAGCTTCGGTGGCATCTGTTCCAGCAACCTCGACAAGAATCTCGCCGCCACCACTGTTCAGAAATTTCTGTTAGCTTTCAGTCTTTGAGAGAGCGAGCAATTGGAGCCGGATGGTGGAAAGCAATTGCAAAACCAAGTAAAAGAAATATGGCCATCATTATGTAGGTACTTACGGGTGCTCTGACACAAAGGAGGTAGAATTGTAGACCTTGCCGTGGATGACGAAGTAGAGGTCATCCTCAGTGTTGTGCGATTGCACCTCCGTAAGGGTGAATTCTTTAGACATTGGGACGCGTGCAACCAGACGATGAGTGAAGCTCGTGTCGAGAGGAAGAATGGAGGGGCTTTGGAGGGGTTGGAGGGGTCAAAGGTGTACACGCTGAGAGATAGATTAAAAAAAAAAAAGACAAGAGACAATATGGTCAGGAACCAGGACCAGGATGCAGCGCACGTACGTTAGCAGAATAAGAGCCATGTATGTAGGGACTGCAGTAACACGGAAAGGCGCTCGAAAATCCGGGGTTTGGGGGATGCCGAACCGTGTCCGTCGGGGTACCTTGACTGATTCGGGTTCGAGTAACCCAATCAACCCACCTTTCCAACACACAAGGTCAGTTGCCACTCCATCTATAGAGTCCTAGTTCGGACCTGGCCTGGCGCGGAGCCAGCCACGGGGCGTGTGACCGTGTTGGCCTTCCAGATGAGGCAGTTTATAACGGTGAGGTGTCCCGGATGTTGATGGGACTAGAAACTTCTATTGGGCATCTAGATAAAGTCCCAACCTAAATTCAGTAGTCGAGCGACGGATTGTCTAGGAGTTTGCCCAGGGTTTGACACCAACATGACCAGCATTTCAAGATCTGAGATCTCTCGAAGTCCTGTAGGGGCTCCGGGATGTATGTCTCAAGGGGGGGTTCAGAGCTAAGGCACACCTTCAAGGATACAGTAGTGGTACAATACGACCACGTCCAAGTCTACATCCACATGGGGCAATAGTATTGCCACCTCCCTGCAACAGATGGCCAATCATTATGAACATATATCCACCATGAGGCTACAGAGACCCGCGACTTCGGAGTAGGCACACGGCTTTCAGATACCGATCCCAAGCCCCCTCCATGAATCCGTGTCTCCACATGCGGAGAGCCTCCCTCTCCCCCTCCTCCTAGCTATCTTGTTATGCAAATAGTTACTATCAGCCAACTCCACTCCTGACCAACCCCTCGTTTTCGGGAGGGGGCAATTTGATGACAAGCCTTACTTGGCACTCAATGAGAGAGAAAGCTGTTGTTGAATGCAAAGCAGCAACATGATAAAAAGTGAAAAGCAAAAGGCGAGTTCTGAGTTATCTATGTAGGAGGACGTCAATTCCGCGGACACGCCGGGCATACTCTCCGCGTTGCCCTCCATCCAGTTGATAGGGTTGTGCCCTTTCTTATCTGTGTCCCCCGCGTTTGAGTGCGGGGTCCGGCCCGTCGACACCGGGTTCCATTTTTACAATACGGCACCTCCGCTCAACAGCTATTCCCAGAACTCATAAGGCTGATTTCGTATTACGTGACGGAATTATTTGGTATCAGGTGGCGACACATCATGAGACCTCCTAGCTCAGAGGGTGGCATACTATGGTATGTCGAATCAATAGATGGCTTGTGTGGTGACTGGGAAACGAGGTCATGAAAAGGGATACACAGAATTGCCTGTGTCATCTCCCCCCCCCCACGAAAGAAGCAGTAGTAGTGTATACTATGTTTTTTACTTTTCTATCAATTAAGATAGTCATCTTTCATCGTAGCCAAAAAAAAAAAAAAAAGTATCAACTATCTTGCTACAATATTATCTTAATACACAGTCCCCTGCCTGGTTGAGCGCCGTATTGTACTACGCAGTGCAATGTTCAACCGCTATCCCATCGCCTGTGATAAAATACCTTCTTGCCCTTCAATCAATCTAGAAGGATTCTATACCGAATTCTGGAAGTTCTGAATGCGAAACATGAGTTTGCTGTAAATAGTTGCAACTAGAACCATCGCACGGGTTATCCGTACTCCCGCCTAGCTTTCCCCAACAATGAGTTCCCCACAGCTACAACGAACCGATAATGAGGCTAAGGATGGGATGTCACCATCGCGTCGCGGATGACCGCAGATGGCATGGCAACAGTTATGAAAGAGTCAAAACTGACTCATTTGCTTGGGCAATACGAACAGTACTTCTGTGTTTGATGTAAATTTGAAGCCAAAGTAGCACGACTCTGTCTCCATCGAAACACAGCCACTTCCCCGAATAGCTCAGCTGGAAGAGCGTTCGGCTGTAACTGATCATCTTTGTTACCGAAAGGTCACCTGTTCGAGCCAGGTTTCGGGGACAGCACCAAATCTTTTTGAGGTCTAAGGCGCGTGTTTGGGTCTCAATTTTTTTTAACTCCGTCATTTGCGCGCAAAGTATATGAAAAACCATGTCGGCATGTAGGACAGACAGGTCCAGTTCAATTTATGGTAAATGCTTGCATTGGTGTCTGAAGGGCCAAGAAAAAGTTGAGTGGCTATCAACCGACACCGATCCTCAATTTGTGACACTTCCCCAGGTCATTCTCATTCGCCAGTGCGACCAAAAACGCCCAGGGCTGCCCCAAAAAAACGCACAGATCCTCCAGCCAATCAGATACCTTATAATGATTCGCTTCGATTTAGTTGGAGTATTGGAGTATTGGAGTATTGGAGCGCGCGAAAATATTTATGACAAAGATGGTAGTCATAGTCAGCTTCACTCTAGACCGAGTACTAATCTATCGTAACTTTGATTGTTGGGAAGAAAGCCACCATAGCACATTGACAAAGCCCTACAATGATTTAAGATTTGGCTTTGTCTCTATATAACTGTCTGTCAGCTGAATCTGAGAGACTGGCAAGGGTAGATAACCCTGAATCATTTCAGTAGTATAGAGGTAAAGTGGTTTACGCCTTATGCTTTATCTGGTTTTAGCTGTTGTTAACAAGTCATGAGAAACAAGAGCCTGATCGCCTTGTCCCTTGTGTCGCGTTCTGAACTGCAGCACATTATATATTTGTTGGAGCTCGGCTTTTGGAACTTGCATGTTGAAGAAATTTCAGAATATATAAACCAAGAAGTGAAGCTTGAGTTGAGTGCCTTTGGTTATGAAAGGGAGGTGATTGATCGAAAAAGCCTCCTCTAATAGCTCACTAGGTACCTCAACAACAACAATCGTAGTTTTGCAGAACAGAATCTTCTTTTTCTTCTTTTTGGGCATTACATAGCGAGCTCACCAGTGGACTGAGCTACGAATGTACACAAAGTCACGATATCCAGGTGTATGTAAAAGGCATAGTATAAATATAATTGTAAATATGTATGTCAAAATGTTCAAAAGAATGTCAATAGTAACTGCCTGGTTTTATGTTGTTAATTACGAAATACACGGCCAGGACTTTGGAAATCACCCATGAATAGGGCTTGTATTCGAATGTTTTGTTTTGCTAAATCTATTTAACACGCTTTCCAGGACAATTTACACCCGGGTCTTCTCAAAATCACCCTTCTCACCCATACCGGCGGCAGACAAGTCATTGCGTGTATCACTAGTCTCCAGATGCATTGCGAGTATGACTTGATTCATGCTTTCATCCATGAGATACGTCCTGCGTCCTCGAATAAACCAGAAGCCAATCGCAATAACAAGCATAACGCCAAAGATGGCAATCGCGTAGTTCATGTCGGCGGCGGTCGGGTTGGGTGTGTAAGGCATGAAGAAGAATACGGTCGTGATGGAGCAGTAGACGAGGGAGATAACGTTCAACACGGGTCCATATTTACCCAAGGTGAACTCTCTTGGTGGCAACTTGTCGCGTCCAGCAACGAGCAGAGTGACGATCGGGATGCTGTACGAAATCGTAAGAGCGATCGTGCTCACCGACAAAATGGCCTCGAGCACGGTGCTGGAAAACAAATAAAGCACGCCGATAACTCCAATAATGGCGCCCTGGAGCCACAAGGCGCGCGCAGGGACACGCCAAGTTGGATCGACATAGCTAAAGTATGGCGAGTATGGGAGGCCGCCATCGCAGGCGAAGCCCCAGGTCAGACGGGATGAGGTAGTCAAGACACTCACTCCCTGACCGAGTCCATTGAAGATGAAGAGCGCAAGCAAAACGGCACCACCAGTCAGACCAACAGTATCCTGCAACAACTGCATGAAAGGCAGGCCGGTAGGTGTATTGATAATTCCGTCGACATCCTGGATGCAGAAGAGACAAACGATCATGAACAGCAAGCCGGTTACAGCACTGCAGATGACGCAAAGGTACATGGCCTTGGGAACATTGCGCCGAGGGTCCGGAATCTCTTCCGTCATGTGGATGATGGCGTCGAAAGCCGTCAATCCATAGGCCGCCTGGACCAATCCCGTAAACCACACCACGCCGTCACCCCAGCCCGTTTCGTTGATCCATTTACCAAATACAAAGGACGCAGGCTGGAACTCTAGACCTTTCTTGACACCTGTGCAGACAAGCAAAGCGATGCTGATGACGAAGAACAGGGCAAAGAAGCCAAGACCCACGAAGTCGTTGAAGAGGGGGAGGATCTTGTCCTTACGGCATGCAACCAGGTTGATGAGGGTAAACATGAGTGTAATGCCAATGTAGACAAGGAACTGAACCCAGCCTTTGGTGGCACCCGTCCAGTCGGGGTCGAACATGACCTTCATTCCGAGCAGGAAGTTGTTCATGAAGGCAATGACAGAGGCTGTCAGAGCCCACCAGCCGAAGGTGTTAATCCACGCGCAAAGGTATGAAACGAATCGACCAGTTGGAGTATTCCACAGTCGATATACCCAGAAGGCCTGGCCCAGGGTGGTGGGCATGCTGCTGCAGAGCTCGCCTAGGGAGACGGCAACGCAAATATTGCAAAAGCTGACGAGGAACAAGCCCCAGACGATACTGATGGGTCCTCCATTGGTCAAGCCACTAGCCAGGTCCTGCGCGAAAACGGACCACGTGCCTAGGACGCAAAAGCCGAGAGCAAGAGTGCTCCAAATGTTGAACTTGCGGGAGAGGGTTTGAGTGGCAACATCGTGGGAGAAGTCTTTCGGATCAGGCACGGATGCGGCGATTGATTGGGGGCGTGGTTCCATGGAGGAAGTCATCAGGAAAGTGGGCGCTGTGGCGTCATTCGCAATAGACAATAGATTCTGTAGGTTGTCATTCGCAACAGATTGGTGTAGATGCGGCGATGGCAGCCTGATCGATCCGATAGATTCTGGGGGCAGCGTGCTGGCCTCCTTTTATAGCATCCCGGGTGAGTCGAGGCTAAGCAATGGCCATGGCTAGTGCACTCTAAATCAACGAAGGGGGCAAATGGGGGGAGGGGGGCTGCCGCTTATCCAGGTGGATTCAATACCATCGAGAATCAGTATTCCCCCCGCATTTCATCTTCGATTGAACGCGGAGAAGATGGGAAATAATTCGTATTCTACATCATGGCGGAGTCAACTGCTCTGTTGAAGGCTTGTCATCAAACTAGTTTCTACATCCCGCCGGCGGCCCGGGGTCATCCGTTGGAAATGCCGCAAGGGTTACGCAATATATAGATCAGACTGGATGGCTGAATATGTCCCAAGGGTCCCCCCCTCAAGGACGCCACGAGAAATGATGGTTCATAAATATTTCAAGACGGAATCCTTACTGGGCATGGGCAACTTAGTGCGGGGGGGATCTGGGGAAGATGCCGATCTAACACATGAAGCATTAGCACGGGCACCAGGGAGGAGGTTGAGGCTTTGCGTAAGACTAACTTGATTCGTGCAATAGATTGCAAAGTCGCCTCATTGCCACTAACGTCGGGAGGGAATAAAAGGGAAATCACCGCCGAGCTAGTGAGTCGACGATCTAACTGCATTCGTGCAATAGATTGCATGAGTTAAATGTTGCGTATGAAAGATCGATATTACTGTACCAGACCCTGGGGCTTTTGGGTACGATATGGACACAGAGATACTTATCTAGCAATTCATATCTCGACCCAAAGCAGGGACTGGCATTGGAGATAAGCGATATCTTGTCAGCATATGTATGCATGATAATCGAGATCTTGATATGACATGTTCTGTCATGATCCTGGGGGCTTTGTCACGGGCAGATTCGTCCATTTCGCTAGGCCTCAGCGATACGCCGAAGGTTGATAGTCTATCTGCCTAGGTGCCGCCAGGGATTTAGCCAGGCCCGGAGTCTCCTTCCCAAGAAATAAACAGGCAAAGAGTTCAATGCGAAAATAGCATTAGTTAAATAGATCTCCGGGGTCTGAATTCAATCCCTTCCGTCCGGGGTAGTTGGCCGGCGGCATACCCCCCCGGCGGCGGTCCCCAGATGCCACGTCCCCCAACTGAGCAGTTCGTTGTCAATGCTGGCGTATGGCTTAAGCCAGCTAAGTGGCGAAGTTTGCTTCTGTTGGGTAGCACAATCGTGCCGCCCTTAGCTCAGGAATCCGACAGCATGGACGTTTTATTAACTTTGTTATCCTACCAATAGCGGGCTGTAACGAAAATGACTTAAAGTATATGGCTCCCAGAGGATCAACTTATCATCACTTTAGCCTGCCGATGTTCCGTTGTTTTGTTTGCCTCGCCGTTCTGAAGCCGAAGTCTTGGGATTGCTGACGCGTAGCAACACAGACCAATCCCCTCAAGCTTCGGCTTACTCATATCATGGATTACGAAAGAAGCATTAGGCGCTTAATAGGAATAAAGGAGCCTTATGTGTCGCTATTGCAGTAATTTCAAGGTAGCTATCTGCCTATATTACGCCCAAGCAAACCCCCGAGAGTGAACATACCAGAGTCTTAGCTCAGAAATTCCCACAATACCTCCAATTACTAATTGTCTCTCGTTATACGCACACTCATTTCGCGCATCTTGGTCATTCTATTTACCAACCAGATAACATTAAGTGCCTCGACACATTTCTCAGTTTTGTAGTCAAAATAGAATGTTGATTATTGAGTTGAGACAGGAAAGAGGAATTGCAACAGCGTGAAAGTCATTGGACATCCATATTTCATGTCATCGGGGTGCGAGTCACTTGGAGACATACTCAACACATATTTCAGAACAATGGACCCTTTAATGATGTACAACCTCACATTAATATCTTGATACTGCTAAACACACCAGCTCAGATGTGGCATAGTTATCCATAATCGCAAGCTTGACATAAATGGGCTTGGATTTGAAGTCCCACTTTGATACGAATGGCGGTGGCGTTCTTCGTCGGGCCTTCTCCTGGTGGAATTCAACTAATGCACGGCTTTCTCGTTCATTTCTCAGTCCGGGCTTAGCTAGTTCACGAGCCCACG